AATGGTCTTCTTGCAAGTTTGGCCGCTTCTGACGACATAACTTATCTGTGAGGCGCTACAGTAAAAAAACAGCTGGGAGGCTGAAAGAGATTGTTTAAAAAGTGCGGGTTAAAGCGCAGGTAACTGTTGCTGGAACATGTACTGGTCGTTGAAGCTTGATGCCGAGAAAATGGGCGGAAGTGTTTTTTATAATGTTAACAGCTACTGACATGTCCATCGCAACAATTATTAATCGGAGAGGGCAGATTCCCGTTATAGCGTTAAAATGAAGTTTGGCTCGCAATGTTCAGCAGTCACACGGTCAAAACGCCCTTCACACCCATAAATAATGGTCAAATCAGAATTTCCAACGAAAACTAGAAAGAAGCGCGGCGTCAGTTCCCACTAAAGCAGAAGTTCGCCTTCATGTCCACTTTAAAAAAACGCAGACGCAACACTTATGCATATCTTTTTTAGTTTTGAAATCCTACAACGCCAATTACACAAATTATTCTTTAAGTTACTCGTGGAAGAATACGTGGAGTTAAAAAAAATCTTGATACAATACAGAAAAAAGAAAAGAAAACGACACTTATTTACAGTTTCACTCTCAGATAAGTAGAAAAGTGGAATCTTACTGGCAGAAGTGACAAAGAAGAACCAAAGGAAATTAATGCGCTTCTTTACAAGAACGGTGACTATTCATTGTACTTTAAAGATATGAGCGAACCTCATTCAGGATACACTATTCCAAACTATCACCGACCAAACTTGATGAAACATTAATTAGGAATGACAACGAAGATAATTAACAATGTTTAAACTAATTTACATCTTTCTTTTGGTAGCTGTATATCTACTCTGGTACTCCTCGTAACCTGGGCGGTCTTGAAAATCTTTGTCTTGGAAAAGATTCCCAGCATAAGCAATTAAACTTACATTAGAATTCACCAGGAATTCCTGCGAAAAATCAGTTTTCTTTAAACAGTTCTCCTCAACACGCAGTGTTCTCAGCCTCCGACAAAAAGTCAGGTTCACATTAAGTGAATTCAGCCGATTCTGGTTTAAATTAAGTTCAGAGACTTGCAGCTCTTTAACCTAAAAACAAAGTTATTAGTAAATTTCTGACAAAAACCACAGAAATAATTCGTACAATTCCGAATATACCAAATAATTTATTAAAATATATTCGACTTTCTGGTCCGAAAAAGATTCCATCTTTGACGCTGTACCTGATAATTTGCAATTAAAGCACTTCAACCTCTTTATTTTTATTACTCTCCTCTCAAACGCATAAAGACTTTCAATAATTTAAACGAAGCGTTCAAGGCAGATAATCCATTAAACTTGCTTTACGTTCGGAAGAGGTAATACAAAATAGAGGACCAGAAAAAGCCAATTTTACCAAAAAATAAAATATAATAGGAAATGAAAATAAAGTCAAAGAACAACAGTTACTGTAAGATAAGTTGACCGATTCGGATAACCAAATGCTAACAAGACATAATGAACTAAACAGCGAAGAGCAGATTTGTTTGGTAGATTAAAAAATCCAATTTTATATTCAAAATAAATACCGCACAGTAACCGAATCATTACCTCATCGGGGAGTTGTTCAATTAGATTGGACGACATATCCAGATTATCCAGGGATGCCAAATGACAAAGAACTTTGGGGAACTCTTCGAACTTGTTACGTGACAGCTTTAAACTTGTAAGGTTCGAAAGCCCAACAAAACCATCAGGAAGTGAGAATAGCTGGTTGTTATCAAGACTCAAAACCTCAAGTCTTTTCAGCAGTCCAATGTCGTCCGGTACAAAAGTCAGTTCATTAGCTGAGAAATGGAGTTGTTTGAGGTTTGAGAACGTGCCTATGGAAGAAGGCAAAGATCGAATTCGATTCTGTGAAAGATCGAGGTTCCTGAGTATTTCATTGACCTTAAAGAGTACTTGATTTAATCAGTGAGAGGTCAGTTCACCAGAAAAAAAAAAAAAAAAACGAACTTCAGGAAGTGAAATCAAGAAATGTGTAAAACAGCGGAAAAACTGACCTCCAACAACTGCTCTGGCATGTGTTTCAAACTGCAGTCTCGTAATTGTAGAATTCTGCTCTTCTGGGCGTTATTAATGTGCTTCAGTATCATTCCACTTGTGAGGCTACTTTTAAAATTCAACCCCACTCCTTTCTTTTTCGGTCCCGCCACCAAATTTGCTGACTCACTGCCGTGTTTCTTCGATGATTCATTTCCCATAACTTTTAATTTTCATCGCTATTCTATAAAGAAAAATCCGGTAGCTGGTACGCTAATCCAACAGCAGAAAATAAAACCGAGGAATAGTCTCCAGGCAAAATAACAGATCACCTAAATTGTCAAGTTTCACACAAGTCACTTTAAACCATTTAGTGACCAGCTAAAATAAAAGGAAAACGAACAAAAAGAATGAAGAAATACCAAAAACGAAAAAAAGGACTTTACTACCAACGCAAAGCAAAAAATTTTGGTTACCGCCGCGAAATATCAGTGAAAGTTTTTTAGTGATGAATTTGCAGCTAACAACGGGAAGTTCAAAAAGGCAATTACATTTTTCCCTCCGACATTAAACTAATCGCGGTGCTGTTTAAGAAAGAATACTCGGAAAAAAATACAACATGACTAAACTTGACAATTTGTAAATAAACAATTATAATAGTTATTAGTTTGCCAGTTGAGAAACTAACATAGAATTCAACACAGACTCTATTGAGATGAAAAACTGTTGAAGTAATGGGGAGTTGTTGCGTGAATACACAGTTACCTGTGAATTTAATCGGAGCTGTAAACCTTGAACAAAAATCTTACTGAAAGTTTCAGGAAGTGATAGCATGTAACTTGCTGTCGTAACTGTTTTCATTATATTCCAAATAAGTTTTTTGAATTTGGGTTGCAGACAAAGGTACCAGTCAGTGTTCAGCAAGCATAAAGAAACGAATAACTTGCAGCAGCATCAGATACTTTTACGGAAGTTGCAGGTTTTACAGTGAATTGACAAGTCTTCCTTACTTCCAACAGTCTTTCCAGTCAATCCTCACATAAGTACTACTTGAACCTGTCACACTAATCTGCCACTAAAGTACCACCTGCACTTTTTACTACAACGTATACTCAGTGAAGTCTTCATCAAACGTTAAAACATGAAAAACACAGTAACTACAATGGAAAATCGTAGGTTGCTTGTCGTCCACATACAGCTTCTGGCCTCTGTATAGTTCTCTGCAGATCTCCAACAAACAACTCAATAATCTTCCTTGACTTGCCGGAAGTCAGCACAACGGCGACTCGGCTAAACAAAACGGAGACGTTTGAACCGAACGACGGGTTCAGTTCCACAACAACTACACAACCTCCTGAGGAGTAATTTCCAAAAGCGAGTTTTTCCCATCAAGACAAAGGTTTTTGAACCTTCTTGGCGGTCCGCCACCACCAGTATAGCTCTATAGGGAAGAACATTCTCTCCTGTGACGTGTTGCGCACGGGCAATTCCATATCAGTTCGTATGTTTTTCGCTGGATGTCTCAGAATCTTTTAAAATGTTTTTGGTTAGTAGAGTCTAGGCTCGACTACAAAAAACAGTAAAGAGGAACTGAAAAAGTGGATTCTTCACCAAAGTACACCTCAGATTCGCAAAATTTGCCAAGCTGCTGCTTAAAGTGCTTGTCTTTGCAGACTCGTAATTCAGCCCGCCTTTAATGAAATTAATTAACTTTTTGTTCTTCAGATTTTTGACGTTTTTTACTTTGCATATAAAACGATTATTTCTGCTAAAAAATCTTATACTTACGATAAAAACAAATTTCCAATCAAATATTTGAAAGGAAAACGAGTTTTTAAATTTAAAAAGGTTCTTTGAGTAGGATTTTTTGATCTTCAACGCTTTAAAAACCGGTTATAAGGTTTTTTCTTGTGTTGACGGAGTTACCAACCGGAAAGGGAAGTGAGATTGGAAGTAATTTACTGTCACTGCAGTAGCTCCACGCAGTTTATTGTTGCGCCACTATCGTCAATTACTTCTAAAAGCTGAGGATAGCGGTTATAAAAATCTGGTATGTTTCAATCTTTAAAAACATACCTTAAAAAGTTATCTTTCACATGAAAATATATGCAAATTATTGTGTGAGCGGAGTCATGGCAAGTTGCTTTTATTCCGACACTGTTTTCTGCAAGTTTTGGTCACCTGCGTAGGTCAAAGATGAACCTTGAGCCTGTATCAGCAAATAGTCATCAAAAGAGTTGAATGAGGCGCAAAGTTTTGGTATAAACATGGGTCGCGAAGAAAAGGATTTATAGGAGACAAGTTTTCCGATTGCGTGACGATTATTTCTATGCAGGACTATAACAAATCCTCTTTATTCCAACCTTGTTTGCTTTCAACGTGCTCTTATCAGCTGCAAAGGTCGAAGAGGCGCATTTAGTTAAGATGTGGACTGAAAAAGCGACAAAGAGGGAACAGCAGTGTCTGGTGTGAAAAAAATTTGATGTAATAGTCGCTTTTGTGGATAATAAGTGCATGAAGCACAAGATTTTCGACTTTGGTGTTTAAGAAGTCAGAAAAGAGAGACTGGTAGGTTATCAGAGCTTGTTCGCGGTCTTCCTTACCGACGATTTAATTATTCAGGCAAAGCGAGTGCAATTCAGTGCTTTTCCTTCAACATTTAGTGCTGTAATCTTCTAGATCGGTTAAGTCTCGCCAAAATTAGAAAAGACCTGTGTCCTGCACCTGACTGGGCAAGAAAACAGGTTTTTGAACTCCCTCATGAAGTCAAATTGTGTACTTGGTGCAGGATTTCGGCAGGAGGACGAAATTCGGAAGGAACTGGCTCTGTTGTGACTATCGAATATGCCCTTTTTAATCGAGAATTCCTGTGTCGCTCCTTTACAAGTCTCCAAAAGCTGCTAGTCCTCATTACTTCTCACCATAAGCAGTCAGTAGCCCTGGCGCTCTAAGCGCCAGGTTGAGTACTTTATAACCTCTTTCAGTTGTACTAAATGAGCGACGACTGTTATAATACCGAACAACCTAGTAGTCTTAAGATTTTTAACTCTGATGACTGAATGAGATGTTCTACAGTGAATATTTTGAATGCATTTGTTAACTTCAAAATTTTATAAAAGTTATAGTGAAAAGGGTCACCAAGCACGTGGTTGCTGCGCTAGATAATACAACTCTTTTAAAAACCACAAATGACGTCAAAGGAGAGAATGAAACTGTTGACTGACTTAAAGTTCAGAATTAGGATCCGACGAACATGCCCAAAAAGGAGCAAAACCAAAACTAGAAAAACACCAAGTTAAGAGAGCAGAGGAAAGAAGGGACCGTGATCCGCAAAGTGAAAGCTCCAATTCTTACGAACTGTAACAAAGAATAGTAATCGCGACTCCTTCGGTTAGCTGCTTAGATAGGTAGTATCATCGCGGTGACCTACTGTATTCGTTTGAGAGGTTCCACCCCGGGGATAGATCGGTGGGTGTCACGATGTTCCCTTTCACCTACCGTCATAACAGCTTACAGCAGCAGTGTTCGCTCAGTATAGCGGGCATTAAACGTATTCATTCTGGGGGAGTTTTACATTTGTAAAACAGAAGATATTGAATTAAAAACGGTTTGTCGCGGATGCATACAACAAAGATTTCCAAATATTTTCGCGTAAAAGATAACTTTTAAAAAAAGATTTTTAAGAATTAAAAATTGCTATATTATGGTAAGTGTTCCTCCCAGCTTCTAGAAGTAACTAGCAGCAGTTGCGCCTCGGTAAAATACATAGGATTACTGTTACCACTTAGAAGTGCCGATGGAGATTTCTTGAGGAAGAACTTGAAGCTAACATTAGGAAATTCAAAGTAGCAATTGCTGATTTTCCTTCAACAGTGAACGCATCGTGGTACTGTTAGTAAAAGAATATTGCCAAAAAAGTACAGTAAGACTACTCGACAACTCGTAAATGATTAATTGCAACAGTGACTGGTTTGCCAGTTTAAAAAACTAACATAGAATTCAACACAGACTCTAATAAGACAAAAAAGCAATGGAGTACATATTGGGTAGTGGTTGCGTGAATCCAGAGGTACCTGTAATTTTGTCTGGGTCTGGACGAAAATCTCGTTTAGTTTTGAAGAATGGTACTACGTAGCTCGCTGTCGTAACTGTTCTCAGTACTTCCTAAACAGGCTTTTTGAATCTGGATTGTAGATCAACGCGCAATGAACACGAACTTGCAGTAACACAGCAGATCGTGTTTTCATCTGCAAATTTTTTGAATTTATCGAGCTAATCCCTACATACTAAAAACTGGTATACATTGTACTGTATACTCAGATCTTTAGTCATGATTTGAGGCCAGGTGGCTGATCACTTGTGTGTTGAGCAGTGAGAGCTGCAGCATGCGTACATGAGCTATATATGCTTTTGTTTTTTCGACAGGTTATGTTCTGCGTCCCGATTGCCTCTGTGGACAGCAAAGCCACAGCACTGATTGGTGGTTCCTTTTGTTATCCTCTGAGCGACCGGTAGCGCATCAGAGGCACTGTGCCACTTTTGACTACCAAACATCCTATCGACTACTTTTGGTCAAGTTTTATATATTAAGAAATAGCTAATAAAGCGAGTTAGAGGGGTCAGAGGGTAGTGTAGTTTGAAACTTTTCAATTAGAGCCTCAGGAGATGAAAAAGCCAAAACTAAATATACAACCCTGTTGAATAGTAGTTAGGGTTCATTCTAATTTCTAACTGATTGGTGAGTGCATGCGCGCAATATGCATTTGTTTCGAGGGTGGGAATATATTTTGTAGTTTGTTCTTTCATAAGTGCCATAAGATTGACTACACAGTTCAAAAACTGTCGCTTGCACAGTAGACAGTCTGGAACCTAGAAACTTACTGTTCCTTTAAAAGCGTATACTGTCATGGAATTTAACATAGGTAGGGATGAATTAATCGTGGGATCCCACCTGTTGCGTTGCCAGATTAGGTACTCTAAAAACCCGCAAAGGTCTGTGGTTGCCGCACCTTTGTTCATACTGCAGTAATACTCTTTCAGTTTGTGTTGCTACTAAAAGTTAGCCAAGTGTTGAGGCTGTCGCAGCTACATGCAATATTGATTAACTGCAAACAAAGTGGTAGACTTTATTTGTGATGTGCAGATTCTGCTTTTGCAATTTCCGGCTTTACTTTTTAATTTTCAGTTCACTACCTGGAACTCAAATCTCGAAAATTCGTTTGTGCACAGTAGTGATGCCAACCCTTCATATTTGATTAGCAGTATGAATTTTTTAGAGCACAAGATACAATCATGATATCCAAACATCTGGTCAACCTACTCAGTAGTTTTACATTTTTCACACTCCTGTTATATTTTTCTTTACAGTAATGATTAAAGTGGTAACTTATCAAGCACTTCACAAATCGAATAAATTAGTGTTCCTATTTAAATATGTTTATTCGAAACAAGAGTGTTAAAAAATTCCAAAGTTAAGATTTGAAGTTAGAGAACTATAGCAACGTTTAATGCAACATTGCTGCTTTCCCTACTGCTTCCGATTACTATGTGCCAGTGCCAAGTAATGTGTAGTTTTACGTCTCAATGTTTAACAACAACACTTGTGAATCTGATGAAGCTACGGCGGTCATATTCATAAAAACCGATGGGGAATTTGTAGGTCCTGTAGAATGATCTGGAAAGCAGAAAACGTAACCTCCAAGTAAGCAGCGAAGAGATGCGAAAGCAAAAGCCGTTTGACAAGTGCATTGTTTCTCAAATGTCCTAAACCTGCCATATTCCTAGGCATATAACTTCACAAAATAGCTTCTGCTTTAGCCTTATTAGGTTACTGGTTATAGAATTATGTATTCGAGTTACCGACCGAAATGCATTGAATGCAACCCATAAAAGTAACCTTCTGGAAAGTGGACTGCACAAAGCTCACCAACAGAGGCATGAAAACGAAGTGTGGGACGTATGATATAGTTTCATTTAACGCTTAGTAACCTGATTGCTTGTTTAACTTTCTCGCAGTATGCGTGATACCACAACTTCTAGGTTTTTTTCGGGCTGGAGAAAGTACTATACATAGCATAGCTACTACAAAGAAACAAACAGTTAAAAAGTTGGAAACTGGCTTTCCAGTTATTTCACAAACGAGAGTATACAGACTGCTTTTGGGCACTAAACACGCACTTCAGAAGCATTGTAACGCCCCGATCACTGCGTACTAATCGGCTTAATACTCGTTTGTGACGAAGTACTACAACAAAAAACTACGAAAATGGATACCTCTCTCGTTAAGGAAGGGTCAGAAGTTAAATGTGGCAGCTAAACTCATAGAAAGAGATGCAAACAAAGTTTATGGAAACAACAACAGTTGTAAAAAATGCGATAACAACAAGCTATCATAAGTGCACCGTGTTGCAAAGACGCAAGTAATTTTCTGAGCATCCCTCTCAGAAAAAAAATCCACCAGCTCTTTTTTCATGTTATCAAGTGACTGGAACAAGTACCTTGGTATCCAACAATACATCTTATATACAACCTAATGAGTTTTCAGCCTTCTTATCACTTCCGACACAGCATTTTTACGAGAGATGGCCTGTAAATACGATTATATACCCGTAAAGTAAAAGAAACAAGTGGTAAGATAGCTTCTCAAAAAACCATTTGGAATTAACTGCTTGAATGTTCAGAAGTTCTGCTGATATTTTCATAAATCGTTACTTCCTCTGACTTCTTCCTAATGTCTTTTAATTTAACAGTCCCATCTTCATTTAGTGTTAGCAGTAATGGAACCCCATTTTCTTCGCAATACTTCGCTTCAACACCAACATAATTTGAATATGAGCACATTTCAGCCTGAAAATTAATTTCTCAATCAAGAAACCTTGTACAAAAAATCGATTCAAAATTTACGAAAAACTATGAAGACAAAAATTCCAAAATCGGCGAGGTCTGAACCAAGTGTTAAAGAAAATACAGCGCTGACCTTTAAGCCGCTGTCCCATAGTTCACATAGCAGTTCCTGTCGGTCTGCCAGTAAATCCCCTGTCGTAGAAGCGACAACGACTTCAGTTTCCAGCAAATGATTTGGCAGGTTTTCAACCTTGAAAACAAACCATTTTAAATGCTTT